AGAGGCACCAGGTGTGTGTGGTGATACATGTGGCACAGATCAGTGTGGTAGAGGGTGAGAGAGGCACCAGGTGTGTGTGGTGATACATGTGGCACAGATCAGTGTGGTAGAGGGTGAGAGAGGCACCAGGTGTGTGTGGTGATACATGTGGCACAGATCAGTGTGGCAGAGGGTGAGAGAGGCACCAGGTGTGTGGGGATACAGGTGTGTGGGGATACAGGTGTGTGGTGATACATGTGGCACAGATCAGTGTGGTAGAGGGTGAGAGAGGCACCAGGTGTGTGGGGATACAGGTGTGTGGGGATACAGGTGTGTGGGATACACCTGCGGGTTACCTGTGTCCGTCACTCAGACCGCTGATAACGTCACCTGTGTCAATCAGAAGGGATAACGCACCTTGTTATTCACTAGTGATAAACTCACCTGTCCTGCCCCTGATAACACGTCCTCTGTAGCCTGCTCCTTCCCACACGGTGTTAACACCTCCCCACGCGGTGTTAACACCTCCCCACGCGGTGTTAACACCTCCCCACGCGGTGTTAACACCTCCCCACGCGGTGTTAACACCTCCCCACGCGGTGTTAACACCTCCCCACGCGGTGTTAACACCTCCCCACGCGGTGTTAACACCTCCCCACGCGGTGTTAACACCTCCCCACGCGGTGTTAACACCTCCCCACGCGGTGTTAACACCTCCCCACGCGGTGTTAACACCTCCCCACGCGGTGTTAACACCTCCCCACGCGGTGTTAACACCTCCCCACACGGTGTTAACACCTACCCACGCGGTGTTAACACCTACCCACACGGTGTTAACACCTACCCACACGGTGTTAACACCTACCCACACGGTGTTAACACCTACCCACACGGTGTTAACACCTCCCCACGCGGTGTTAACACCTACCCACACGGTGTTAACACCTCCCCACACGGTGTTAACACCTACCCACACGGTGTTAACACCTACCCACACGGTGTTAACACCTACCCACACGGTGTTAACACCTACCCACACGGTGTTAACACCTACCCACACGGTGTTAACACCTACCCACACGGTGTTAACACCTCCCCACACTGTGTTAACACCTTCCCACACTGTGTTAACACCTTCTTACAGCCCCCCACACTGTGTTAACACCTTCCCACAGCCCCCCACACTGTGTTAACACCTTCCCACACTGTGTTAACACCTTCCCACACTGTGGTAACACCTCCCCACACTGTGTTAACACCTCCCCACACTGTGTTAACACCTTCCCACACTGTGTTAACACCTTCCCACACTGTGTTAACACCTTCCCACACTGTGTTAACACCTTCCCACACTGTGTTAACACCTTCCCACACTGTGTTAACACCTTCCCACACTTTGTTAACACCTCCCCACACTGTGTTAACACCTCCCCACACTGTGTTAACACCTCCCCACACTGTGTTAACACCTCCCCACACTGTGTTAACACCTCCCCACACTGTGTTAACACCTCCCCACACTGTGTTAACACCTCCCCACACTGTGTTAACACCTCCCCACACTGTGTTAACACCTTCCCACACTGTGTTAACACCTTCCCACACTGTGTTAACACCTTCCCACACTGTGTTAACACCTCCCCACACTGTGTTAACACCTCCCCACACTGTGTTAACACCTCCCCACACTGTGTTAACACCTTCCCACACTGTGTTAACACCTTCCCACACTGTGTTAACACCTCCCCACACTGTGTTAACACCTCCCCACACTGTGTTAACACCTTCCCACACTGTGTTAACACCTTCCCACACTGTGTTAACACCTTCCCACACTGTGTTAACACCTTCCCACACTGTGTTAACACCTTCCCACAGCCCCCCACACTGTGGTAACACCTTCCCACAGCCCCCACACTGTGTTAACACCTTCCCACAGCCCCCACAGTAGCGGTACCACCTTCCAATATTGGTGTTAATTAAGAAGATTGTTGGGGGTTTTGGAATCATATTGACAGTGATTGTGATGGTCGTGATGGTGATGGCAGGGTGGTGGTGGTGGTGATGGTGATGGCAGGGTGGTGGTGGTGGTGATGGTGATGGCAGGGTGGTGGTGGTGGTGATGGTGATGGCAGGTGGTGGTGGTGGTGTGGTGATGGTGATGGCAGGGTGGTGGTGGTGGTGATGGTGATGGCAGGGTGGTGGTGGTGTGGTGATGGTGATGGCAGGGTGGTGGTGGTGGTGATGGTGATGGCAGGGTGGTGGTGGTGGTGATGGTGATGGCAGGGTGGTGGTGGTGGTGATGGTGATGGCAGGGTGGTGGTGGTGGTGATGGTGATGGCAGGGTGGTGGTGGTGGTGATGGTGATGGCAGGGTGGTGGTGGTGGTGATGGTGATGGCAGGGTGGTGGTGGTGGTGATGGTGATGGCAGGGTGGTGGTGGTGGTGATGGTGATGGCAGGGTGGTGGTGGTGGTGATGGTGATGGCAGGGTGGTGGTGGTGGTGATGGTGATGGCAGGGTGGTGGTGGTGGTGATGGTGATGGCAGGGTGGTGGTGGTGGTGATGGTGATGGCAGGGTGGTGGTGGTGGTGATGGTGATGGCAGGGTGGTGGTGGTGGTGATGGTGATGGCAGTGGTCTGTGTTCTACATGAATGTAGAACACAGACCATCACTAGCAGAGAGATGGGTGATGTAAAAAGGGATTTCGATGTGATTTCAGAATATAACTTATTTCAAAATATTCTAAGCAAAACACAGGAAAGTAGTATACCTTACACATTGAATAGATCAAATACTAATGACCCGAAATGGAAAACAAAGGATCTGAAGAACTTTTTAGGTAGAAGAAAAGCATGGTACAAAAGGATTAAGAATGGGGAAGTCAGTTTAGAACAAGAATTCGTTCAACTGGTTAGAAATGTTAAAAAAGAGATAAGGAGAGCTAAAAGAAACTATAAAGTTCGTATAGTAAGCCAAGTAAAGCCAAATCCTAAAGTTTTTTCAGTTATATCGAACAAAGATTAGGGAATGGATAGGTCCATTAAAAACCCATTAAAAAAATAGGTCCATTAAAAAAAGACAGGTCAGATATCAAATAACAACGAAGAGATGAGTATTTTTAATAAATATTTTATCTCTATATTTAATAAAGAGGAACTTAACAATATGCCTTCAGCCGAACAAGTCTATGTGGGTGGGGACGAGGACAGGTTGACGAGTTTAGCAGTTACCAGGGAGGATGTTCTTAAACAAATAGTAAAATTCAAACCAAACAAATCCCCAGGGCCGGATGAAGTGTTTGCCAGGGTGCTTAAAGAATGCAAAGAGGAGCTTTGTGACCCACTGTCAACCATGTTTAATAAATCAATAGAGTCAGGCAGAGTGCCAGAGTCATGGAAGGTAGCTAATGTGGTACCAATTTTTAAGAAAGGAGATAGATCACTTGCGTCAAACTATCGGCCAATTAGCCTAACGTCTATTGTGGGAAAGTTTCTTGAATCGATAATTGCAAATACAATGTCTTCATCTTGAAAAACATAAATTAAAGATTTTCAACATGGTTTTACAAATGGCCGTTCATGTTTAACAAATTTGCTATCATTTTATTCCAGCATAGTTGAGGCAGTTGATAGTGGTAAGGATTGTGATGTTGTGGACCTTGACTTTAGCAAAGCTTTTGATACAGTGCCACATGAAAGACTGATTAAAAAGATAGAGGCTCATGGTATTGGGAGTGCTATATTAAGTGCTATATTAAGCTGGATTAGGGATTAGTCTTATACCAAACATAAGAACATTAGAATAAAGGTAACTGCAGAAGGCTTATTGGCCCATACTATCAGCTCCTAGTTATAACCACCCAATCCCATTCACTCATGTCCAACCCACGCTTGAAACAATCAAGGGACTCAACTTCTACCACGCTTCGCGATGATTGGTTCCACAAATCAACAACACTGTTACCGAACCAGTATTTATCCACGTCCTTCCTGAATTTAAACCTATCAAATTTGTACCCATTGTTTCGTGTTCTGTCTTGTGTTGATACTTTTAATACTCTATTAAAAAAATTTAAATGTTTATTCAGGTAAAGTATATACATACAAAGCGAGATACAAACATTGATGGATTTATAGATAGAGCTAGTACATACAATGCTTAAAGCCATTATTACGCAAGGCGTTTCGGGCAGGAGGGCTATTAATATCCCATTTCGTTCTGAGTAGATATATCTAAAACAACAACAGTAGAACTAGTTGAGCCCTGTTCACCTAGCAGTAAATAGGCACCTGGGAGATAGACAGCTGACACGGCCTGCTTCCTGGGTGTCTGTGTATGTGTGAAAAAAGAAGTAATTAGTAGTAACAGTTGATTGATTGACAGTTGAGGAACGGCCCGAAAAAGCAGACCTCATCCCCCACAAGCACAACTAGGTGAATACAACTAGGTGAACACAACTAGGTGAACACAACTAGGTGAACACAACTAGGTGAATACAACTAGGTGAACACAACTAGGTGAACACAACTAGGTGAATACAACTAGGTGAACACAACTAGGTGAATACAACTAGGTGAATACAACTAGGTGAACACAACTAGGTGAACACAACTAGGTGAACACAACTAGGTGAACACAACTAGGTGAATACAACTAGGTGAACACAACTAGGTGAATACAACTAGGTGAACACAACTAGGTGAACACAACTAGGTGAACACAACTAGGTGAACACAACTAGGTGAACACAACTAGGTGAATACAATTAGATGAATACAACTAGATGAAGACAATTAGATGAATACAACTAGATGAATACAACTAGGTCAATACACACACCACACCACTTCTCAACAGCCACTTCATTAAACCCGAGGAGGAATGAGGCCGCGCTACACCCTGGTGACTGACGTATCAGGTCCGGGCTCAATTAGAAGGACCTCCTGACACTGTGAGCGATCTTAATGTGCCGCCACAACTGCCAACTGCCCTCCACACCTAATTGGCTTGTTTGTCATGATGGGGCTCTGGACAGCCTTGTTGGCACCGTTAATGTTGGTGGTACTGTTGGCACCGTTACTGTTGGTGGTACTGTTGGCACCGTTAGTGGCACTGTTGGCACCGTTAATGTTGGTGGTACTGTTGGCACCGTTACTGTTGGTGGTACTGTTGGCACCGTTACTGTTGGTGGTACTGTTGGCACCGTTACTGTTGGTGGTACTGTTGGCACCGTTACTGTTGGTGGTACTGTTGGCACCGTTAGTGGCACTGTTGGCACCGTTAATGTTGGTGGTACTGTTGGCACCGTTAATGTTGGTGGTACTGTTGGCACCGTTACTGTTGGTGGTACTGTTGGCACCGTTAGTGGCACTGTTGGCACCGTTAATGTTGGTGGTACTGTTGGCACCGTTACTGTTGGTGGTACTGTTGGCACCGTTACTGTTGGTGGTACTGTTGGCACCGTTACTGTTGGTGGTACTGTTGGCACCGTTAGTGGCACTGTTGGCACCGTTAATGTTGGTGGTACTGTTGGCACCGTTAATGTTGGTGGTACTGTTGGCACCGTTAATGTTGGTGGCACTGTTGGCACCGTTAATGTTGGTGGTACTGTTGGCACCGTTACTGTTGGTGGTACTGTTGGCACCGTTAGTGGCACTGTTGGCACCGTTAGTGGTACTGTTGGCACCGTTAATGTTGGTGGTACTGTTGGCACCGTTAATGTTGGTGGTACTGTTGGCACCGTTAATGTTGGTGGTACTGTTGGCACCGTTAATGTTGGTGGCACTTTTGGCACCGTTAATGTTGGTGGTACTGTTGGCACCGTTAATGTTGTCGGTACTGTTGGCACCGTTAATGTTGTCGGTACTGTTGGCACCGTTAATGTTGGTGGTACTGTTGTCACCGTTAATGTTGGTGGTACTGTTGGCACCGTTAGTGGCACTGTTGGCACCGTTAATGTTGGTGGTACTGTTGGCACCGTTAATGTTGTCGGTACTATTGGCACCGTTAATGTTGTCGGTACTGTTGGCACCGTAAAAGTTGGTGGCACTGTCGGCACCGTTAATGTTGGTGGCACTGTTGGCACCGTTAATGTTGGTGGTACTGTTGGCACCGTTAATGTTGGTGGCACTGTTGGCACCGTTAATGTTGGTGGCACTGTTGGCACCGTTAATGTTGGTGGTACTGTTGGCACCGTTAATGTTGGTGGCACTGTTGGCACCGTTAATGTTGGTGGCACTGTTGGCACCGTTAATGTTGGTGGCACTGTTGGCACCGTTAATGTTGGTGGCACTGTTGGCACCGTTAATGTTGGTGGTACTGTTGGCACCGTTAATGGTGGTGGTACTGTTGGCACCGTTAATGTTGGTGGCACTGTTGGCACCGTTAATGTTGGTGGTACTGTTGGCACCGTTAATGTTGGTGGTACTGTTGGCACCGTTAATGTTGGTGGTACTGTTGGCACCGTTAATGTTGGTGGTACTGTTGGCACCGTTAATGTTGGTGGCACTGTTGGCACCGTTAATGTTGGTGGCACTGTTGGCACCGTTAATGTTGGGGGTACTGTTGGCACCGTTAATGTTGGTGGCACTGTTGGTACAGGCCAGGACACGGCAGACACGGCCAGGTCACGGCAGACACGGCCAGGACACGGCAGACACGGCCAGGACACGGCAGACACGGCCAGGACACGGCAGACACGGCCAGGACACGGCCAGGACACGGCAGACACGGCCAGGACACGGCAGACACGGCCAGGACACGGCAGACACGGTCAGGACACGGCAGACACGGTCAGGACACAGCAGACACGGTCAGGACACAGCAGACACGGTCAGGACACAGCAGACACGGTCAGGACACGGCAGACACGGCAGACATGGCAGACACGGCAGACACGTCCAGGACACGGCAGACATGGCAGACACGTCCAGGACACGGCAGACACGGCCAGGACACAGCCAGGACACGGCAGACACGGCCAGGACACGGCAGACACGGCAGACACGTCCAGGACACGGCAGACACGGCCAGGACACGGCAGACACGGCCAGGACACGGCAGACACGGCCAGGACACGGCAGACACGGCCAGGACACGGCAGACACGGCCAGGACACGGCAGACACGTCCAGGACACGGCAGACACGTCCAGGACACGGCAGACACGGCCAGGACACGGCAGACACGGCCAGGACACGGCAGACACGGCCAGGACACGGCAGACACGGCCAGGACACGGCAGACACGGCCAGGACACGGCAGACACGGCCAGGACACGGCAGACACGGCCAGGACACGGCAGACACGGCCAGGACACGGCAGACACGGCCAGGACACGGCAGACACGGCCAGGACACAGCAGACACGGCCAGGACACAGCAGACACGGTCAGGACACAGCAGACACGGTCAGGACACAGCAGACACGGTCAGGACACAGCAGACACGGTCAGGACACGTCCAGGACACGGCAGACACGGCCAGGACACGGCAGACATGGCAGACACGGCAGACACGTCCAGGACACGGCAGACATAGCAGACACGTCCAGGACACGGCAGACACGTCCGGGACACGGCAGACACGGCCAGGACACGGCAGACACGGCCAGGACACGGCCAGGACACGGCAGACACGGCCAGGACACGGCAGACACGGCAGACACGTCCAGGACACGGCAGACACGGCCAGGACACGGCAGACACGGCCAGGACACGGCAGACACGGCCAGGACACGGCAGACACGGCCAGGACACGGCAGACACGTCCAGGACACGGCAGACACGTCCAGGACACGGCAGACACGGTCAGGACACGGCAGACACGGTCAGGACACAGCAGACACGGCCAGGACACGGCAGACACGGCAGACACGGCCAGGACACAGCAGACACGGCCAGGACACAGCAGACACGGCCAGGACACGGCAGACACGGCAGACACGGCCAGGACACGGCAGACACGGCAGACACGGCCAGGACACGGCAGACACAGCCAGGACACGGCAGACACGGCAGACACGGCCAGGACACAGCAGACACGGCCAGGACACGGCAGACACGGCAGACACGGCCAGGACACAGCAGACACGGCCAGGACACAGCAGACACGGCCAGGACACGGCAGACACGGCCAGGACACAGCAGACACGGCAGACACGGCCAGGACACAGCAGACACGGCCAGGACACGGCAGACACGGCCAGGACACGGCAGACACGGCCAGGACACAGCAGACACGGCCAGGACACGGCAGACACGGCCAGGACACAGCAGACACGGCCAGGACACGGCAGACACGGCCAGGACACAGCAGACACGGCCAGGACACGGCAGACACGGCCAGGACACAGCAGACACGGCCAGGACACGGCAGACACGGCCAGGACACAGCAGACACGGCCAGGACACGGCCAGGACACAGCAGACACGGCCAGGACACGGCCAGGACACGGCCAGGACACGGCCAGGACACGGCAGACACGGCCAGGACACAGCAGACACGGCCAGGACACAGCAGACACGGCCAGGACACGGCAGACACGGCCAGGACACAGCAGACACGGCCAGGACACGGCAGACACGGCCAGGACACGGCAGACACGGCCAGGACACGGCAGACACGGCCAGGACACGGCAGACACGGCCAGGACACAGCAGACACGGCCAGGACACAGCAGACACGGCCAGGACACAGCAGACACGGCCAGGACACGGCAGACACGGCCAGGACACAGCAGACACGGCCAGGACACGGCAGACACGGCCAGGACACGGCAGACACGGCCTGGACACGGCAGACACGGCCAGGACACAGCAGACACGGCCAGGACACAGCAGACACGGCCAGGACACAGCAGACACGGCCAGGACACAGCAGACACGGCCAGGACACAGCAGACACGGCCAGGACACAGCAGACACGGCCAGGACACGGCCAGGACACAGCAGACACGGCCAGGACACAGCAGACACGGCCAAGACACGGCAGACACGGCAGACACGGCCAGGACACAGCAGACACGGCCAAGACACGGCAGACACGGCAGACACAGCAGACACGGCCAGGACACGGCAGACACGGGCAGACACGGCCAGGACACGGCAGACACAGCAGACACGGCCAGGACACGGCAGACACGGCCAGGACACGGCAGACACGGCCAGGACACAGCAGACACGGCCTGGACACGGCAGACACGGCCAGGACACAGCAGACACGGCCAGGACACAGCAGACACGGCCAGGACACAGCAGACACGGCCAGGACACGGCAGACACGGCCAGGACACAGCAGACACGGCAGACACGGCAGACACGGCCAGGACACAGCAGACACGGCAGACACGGCAGACACGGGCAGACACGGCAGACACGGCAGACACGGCAGACACGGCCAGGACACAGCAGACACGGCAGACACAGCCAGGACACGGCAGACACGGCAGACACGGCCAGGACACAGCAGACACGGCAGACACAGCAGACACGGCAGACACAGCAGACACGGCAGACACAGCAGACACGGGCAGACACAAACAAGCCCCAATAGAAGAATATGTCAGGGAGGAAATCATTGAAGCAATAATTTTCAAAACAAATATTTCTGGTATATGTATATAATTGTCTTACTTGCTGCGCTGTTGAGACCGTCGAAGTGGTTGGGCACCATTCCTGCCCCCCCCCCCCCGGCCCTTCCCTAATCCTTATCCTCACCCCTTCCATGTGCTACACAGTCGTAATGGCTTGGCGCTTTCCCTTGATAGTTCCCTCCCTCCCTTTGCCACTACGTATAAAATATGTCGTCTTAACCCAACCAGAAACACCCAGCCTCAGGCAGTCCAACAATCGCGGCCCCAAGCTTATAAAACTCCAATACCAGTCCGTCCTCCAACAATGGGGAGGTAAATGTACCAGTACAAATAAGTGCAATTATGTACTATTCATAGCAGTTAGGAATTGTACTTATTTTCACTTAGTATTAAATCTTATCGTCAAATATATTGTGAATATTTGAGTTTACCTGAAAAACTGAATAGAAAACCACGACCTCACCTAACCGTCTTAGTGTTTGAAGATAATAATTTTATTGCTTCTTAATTACAATTAGTACTTAACCTATAGCTATATTGATATTACAGTTTTATAAAACTAATAAAACAAAACTAAAATATATCAATAAATTGTAAAGTAACTCAGGATATTTTAAAATTCTGTATAAAATCTATATTGTTTAATAAACCTGGAAAAGAAATTCCTGATATTTAAAACTTTTGTACTGCACATTGAAATTGACAACGTCATCCTAAAATTCTGAGTGTCTTAACAGAAAACGAGAAGAATTAAATCGAGGGAGGGAGTTGGGTAAATGTAACAGCCCCGTAAGTGTAATTATATACTGGTTATGACAGTAAGAAAGTGCACTTTTTACACTTAGTATTAAATCGTACTGTCAATCCGGAGGATGGGTTGAACGTTGATATACTTCAGCTGGTAACACTCATAGTAGGTCACGTTTGTAACGTTGGTGACCACACTGTACATAATGTGACCTGGTGAGAGGACTGGCTGGTGTGAACGCGCGCACCTCACCGTTTGTGTTCGTAATTACCTAAGTGTAGTTACAGGATGAGAGCTACGCTCGTGGTGTCCCGTCTTCCCAGCACTCTTTGTCATATAACGCTTTGAAACTACTGACGGTCTTGGCCTCCACCACCTTCTCCCCTAACTTGTTCCAACCGTCTACCACTGTATCCCTAAGTCACCTAGTTGTTGTACTCGCCTAGTTGTGCTTGCGGGGGTTGAGCTCTGGCTTTTTGGTCCCGCCTCTCAACTGTCAATCAACTGGTGTACAGGTTCCTGAGCCTATTGGGCTCTATCATATCTACATTATAAACTGTGTATGGAGTCAGCCTCCACCACATCACTGCCTAATGCATTTCACCTGTTAACTACTCTGACACTGAAAAAGTTCTTTCTAACGTCTCTGTGGCTCATGTGGGTACTCAGTTTCCACCTGTGTCCCCTTGTTCGCGTGCCATCAGTGTCGAATAGTTATCCTTGTCTACCCTGTCGATTCCCCTGAGGATTTTCTAAGTAGTTGTCATGTCTCTCCTTACTCTTCTGTCTTCCATTGTCGTAAGGTGCATTTCCCGCAGTCTTTCCTCGTAACTCATGCCTCTTAGTTCTGGGACTAGTCTAGTGGCATACCTCTGAACTTTTTCCAGCTTCGTCATGTGCTTGACAAGGTACGGGCTCCATGCTGGGGCCGCATACTCCAGGATTGGTCTTACATATGTGGTGTACAAGATTCTGAATGATTTCTTACACTGTGTGTGTGTGTGTGTGTGCGCGCGCGCGCGAGAAAGTTCCTGTGGAAGATGGTGTTGCGTGCGCTCGTTCACGCGCGCGTGCGCCCAGTATAATCTTTATTGGAATCTGCTCAATGAAAATTAAATAAGGAATTATCCTATAAAATTATACTTCCCCGCCCAGCTGAGAGCTCGCGGCCTCGTAAATGACATCATAAAACATTTTTTCCCCAAATGAGTTACCCAGGCGATGGGAAAGTGACGTCACGAATATTGTTTATATGCATCAACAATGAGGCAGTGGTTCAGGCCATACAGTAATTACCTCACCACCAATGAGGCCCGGTCTCCTGAGGTCCCACAACCTCAAGAAAACGGTCTATGTAGTGTCCTCTCCTAACCTGCCAGAGGACCCACAACAGAAAACGGGGCAGTACGGCACTTTCGCCAGCCGCTTCCATTGTCTAGTACGACCCAGGAAGGTAGGGAAGAAGGAATTATCAGGAGAAAGCACCAAGCCATTACGACTAAATAGCACTGGGAAGGGGTCAGGATAAGGCTTTGGGGATGGGACGGTGGGAAGGAATGGTGCCCAACCACTTGTGGACGGTCGGGGATTGAACTCCGACCTGCATGAAGCGAGACCGTCGCTCTACCGTCCAGAGTTAATATGTGTTGAGTGAACTTTAGTGAGGGGGGGGAGGGAGGAGCCAGGGGGGGCGCCGACCCCAACCCCCTTTGAGTGACCCTGCAAGATCGTCCCAACTGCCCGGCCTTTTAACCCTGATGATGTTGTTGTTGTTTTATATTCATCAACTGGGACCAACAGTTGCACACAGCACCGGCTATGGTGATCCCGTAGTGGACGTGCCCGGCACAGTAGCGGGGTTAACCATCAACAAACATTATGTTATATAGCAATGAATTAGTTAATATTTCAAAAGATCTAAGCCTAAAATAATCTTGATAACTGATAATATAACCATTTATTTTCTCATTAAATGCCATATTATCCAAACATTATATAACAATTAATTCCACCCAATTAAAAGGGAATAGCATAACTATGACCATAGAAAATAGGTCAATGTTCACGAATAGGAAAACGTTCACAAATAGGTCAACGTTCACAAATAGGTCAACGTTCACAAATAGGTCAACGTTCACAAATAGGTCAACGTTCAAAAATAGGTCAACGTTCAAAAATAGGTCAACGTTCAAAAATAGGTCAACGTTCAAAAATAGGTCAACGTTCAAAAATAGGTCAACGTTCAAAAATAGGTCAACGTTCAAAAATAGGTCAACGTTCAAAAATAGGTCAACGTTCAAAATAGGTCAACGTTCAAAATAGGTCAACGTTCAAAAATAGGCAAATGTTCAAAAATAGGCAAATGTTCAAAAATAGGCAAATGTTCAAAAATAGGCAAATGTTCAAAAATAGGCAAATGTTCAAAAATAGGCAAATGTTCAAAAATAGGCAAATGTTATAAAAATAAAAAATAGGAAATCAATTTGAGCGGGGGAGGATAGTGGTAGTTGTTTCTTAAAAGGTTGATAAGGGCGAGAAGAGGTGTCGTCACAGGACCGGCGGGTCTCGAACCCGGGTCATCAGATAACCTGGTCGTTAAAGAGGCCTTAAACGGCGTGATGCGCGCCGCTTCTTCTTGAGACAAAAATACCGACCTCTTTATCAGATCCTAAATTGTCGTTGAGGTCGTTAAAGTGAACACTAAACCCTGTGTAAGTGAGGAGGTGGCACCTGGCGTGGGGTGAGTGGGGGGGGGGGTGGGTTTGTGGGTGGTGGGTTGGGGTGTTGTGTGGGGGGGGTGTGTGGGGTGGGGGTATTGGGTGGGGTTGTTGTGGGGGTGGTGTTGTTGGGGGGGTGTTGTTGGGGGGTGTTGTGGG